TCCGTTATTTTATTATCTACTATAAAGTATTTAATGTATATCTGGTGGTTAGAATTGATTATTTTATTAACAAGAAGGAAGAGGTGATATGCCTTCCATAAAATCTGGTGTTGCGGTGCGCCGTACAGTAGCTACTGAGACATTAGTCACCTCAGCAGTCTGTTTATATACGTCTATTATGTCTTTCGCAGTACCTAATTATTTCATGTAACTAAACACTGAATAGACCATTTGTTGGGATTGGTCTATTTAACACCGAATTCTTCCTTCTCTGTATATTTAGACCAAAATCTGAATACTCAAATTATAACAACAAAAATAATTAAAAACAAGAAATAATAAAAACAATTAATAACAAGGAATACACAAACAACAATTAACAACCAGGTAACAAAAACAATTAACGAAAATAAGCTAATTAAAATGTTATCATTGAAATTATTGCTCTGAAGTGTACGGAAGCCGAATGATACGTTCGAAACCAATAGACGACGAGAATCGACTGATGAACCAATCACGTTGAACGTCAGCATGGTCAACGTCGTATCGACCAATAAAAAGTGTGCTCACGACTTATGTCGGTAATTATACTCCGTTCAGGGTCCTTGTGTTAAGGTGTGCACACCTTAGGGTATTTTTCCCTTAGCTTGGGGAATTTCTTGTTCTCTCAGATAACAATTTTTTTAGGGTATTTGATACGGGAAAATATTTTAAATGTCTTAGAACCATCAAAGAAATCAAAAGATAAAAGAAAACTTTTTTGGCAGTGCCGTCAAAACGCAATACGAAGTACATAATATGCACCATAAATATAGATAGCAAATAAAAATTGCTTTACAAATTTGAAAGCACATCTGGTGCCACAATAAATAATTATTATGGCACCAGATGTGCTTTCAAATTTTAAATCTAAGATATCCGTATCCAAGATAAGATATTTGTCCGCAACTTGGTCGATAGAACAATCCGTTAAAGACGATACTGTTTATTCTTTGTCATTATTTGAAGAGAGTAGTGTACTCTGCTGCAATAATCATAATAAAACTATTAATAAAAAGCGAAAAGCTGCAATAACGCTACAGTTACTGGAATTTGTGACAAAATAAATATGAAATTTTTTCTGAATTCTAAGCGCACATCTCAATTATACAATTTTTGACATCACAATTTTTTTATTTATCTATTTATAAACTAAACTTTAAAAACTCTGGGACGAACATAGAAGACGGATATTATGTTTTGTACAGCTCTCTCGATATAACCTTGATCGTTTGAACAGCTCTACGACCACGATCAAACACGATCAAAACTCTTTGAGTATTAAACCAACTGGAGAGGCCATGCGCGTTAATTCATAAACAAAAATTCTGTCAACATCAGGGGGGGGGGTGCGTAAGAAAAACACACAACTGAAAACTACAAATGCAAAATTAAATCGCGTCACTATAAACGCACACTACAGCTTTTGTGTTTGTGTTAATCGCGTTTACGCATACCATCAAATTGTACACGTGTCGATACACTGATGGCGCTGTCTAAATGCGTAGCAACGTAAGGCGTGGACTATGTCGATATTTTTATCGATAAACAAATCACCATAGTCCGCTTAAGTTTTTATTTGATTATAAGTAATACATAGAAAAATAATATCAAGGTGTTATTGGAAATTCTTTTTTTAAAGTATTTAGAAATGATCTTCGGAAAAAAACTTAGAAATTATTGAAAATAAGTTTATTATTTTGCTACAGGTATATTTTACATTATGCAGGATAAAATTTAAAATATTTAGCAAATCGAAATAGGAGGTTTAGCTAACTTATTTTAAAAATAAGATTTGTGAAAAGAAAAGTCCTATCAGTTTATCGTTTTAGATGGTGTTAACCAAGTTTTTGTTTTTATTATAAGGCTTCAATCACAAAACCGCTATTTAAAAAAAGTTGTTGATTTTCAAGAGTTATTAAATGAACTATCTAGAAAATATTTAATAAATTAGGAAAACAAAAAAGTTTTACACTATATAATAGTTTAATAAAGTGAACTTTAAGCAAACAGCTGACATCTACCTAGGTCTAAGTATTCCCCAGAAAGATGTTTTGCTTTAACTTTACATTAGTGTTACGGTGTATTAGTGTTAACATTGGATGAACTAGATAAGGCAGGAAACGCCCCAGATGTTATATGTCTTTCAGAAACTTTCTTGCGTACTGATCATGAAAAATACCTAAACATTAATAATTATGAATTAGCCAGTTCGTTTTGTAGGGATGAGTCTAGAGGCAGTACATGTATTTTAGTGAAGAAATATATTGCATATAAAAAATTAAATAAGATAAATAGTTTAGCAACGCCAAAGTTATTTGAAGTTTGTGGTACTGAGATTCCTCTTTATAATTTGCTAATAATTTGTCTCTATAGGACTCCCTCTACAGACGAAATTCTGGTTTTGGACAAGTTAGACGAAATGTTACGCGAAATATTTAAAAAAAATAATCCCAATACTAAACTTTTAATTACTGGTGATTTAAATATTAATACTCTTAAGCCAGGAAAGCCAACACTTATCTTCATGACTTTAAAAACTTTTGGAACTTTTTACAATATATATATATATATATATATATATATATATATATATATATATATATATATATATATATATGTATATATATATATATATATATATACCCCGATATGGTATTTTTAACTACCATGACCACATTTTTAATTTTTTTTTATATTTTTTTTGTATCGGCAACCTTAGTAGTACTGCTATCTACCACAACTTATAAATCCCAGGATACATGTAGTTTTTACAGAAAAATCAATCAAAATTTTTACTTTGAGTCCACTTTCACTTTCAATCGTGGTGTAAAAAAAAACTTGTTTTGCCATTTATGGCGTACAAAAATTATACTACATTAAGTTTACAATTACAATACTAGTGTTACGAGCTTTAGGTTCGTGACAATAAAAATTGCCGATAAAATTACCTAAATTAACACTTTAATTTTCTTTACACAAATTAAAACTTAAAACACTAATAATTAATCACACTAATTCACTTTCTGACAAGAGAAAAAAAAACCGCAAAAAAACAAACACCCGAGTTCAAATATTCTTCGGTTCGAGACTAGATGACGCTAGTGCCGTCGACACTATGGCGCGTAATAATAGGTATATAAATATATGAATTAAATTTGATAGGTTAATGCTTTTGTAAAGTTATTAAAATATTTTCAAGTAAAATAATATTGGTGTCAAAGGTAATAATAAAAATATCCAATCTAAATATAATTACAGCCAAACATTACCTCCCACAAGTTCAAGGTTGGTACTGCAGTGTCAGCTTACCTTCTTTTATTGTAAGCTTGGGGTATGAAATATGATTTTCTAAAATGTTTGGAGCAAATGGTGCCAGTCCTTTTAGGTGTCCAAGATTCATGGTTTCTACAAGCTACAATCCAAGGTTGCCTCCTAAGAGGATCTCTTGGAATTCTGTAAAAACAAACCTATAATAGAAAATTAAAGATATTCGTATTCCACCTAAATCTATGTTGTTATCTTTAGACGTTGATAGTCTTTTCACAAATGTCCCATTCCCTGACTGTTTGCGCATACTCTCAGATTTTTTTGAAAAACGTCGTCTACATCCCGGGGAAACAAATGATCTTCTTAACCTAACCTCTCTCTGTATGAAACAACATTATTTCCGGTTTAATAACCGTTTCTATCTACAAAAAGAAGGGTTAGCTATGGAGTCCCCTCTAAGTCGGACATTTTCATGGTTAATTTCGAAAAACAACAAATAGTTGTTAACCAAAATATAATAAACTATTAGCGATATGTAGACGACATAATTATTTGCTGGACTGGCACTAGGAGACAACTGGATGTTTTCCTTAATAAAATAAATAGAGTACATGAAAAAATTAAAAGCTTGAATTGGAACAAGATTGCTCCCTTAATTTCCTTGACTTAACAATAACAAGAAGAGTCGCATGTTTTTCAAATTTATCGAAAACCAACTCACACCGATACGGTCATCCCTGCGCCATCGTGTCATCCATGGCAACATAAATTAGCCGCTTTTTATTGTTATATCAACCGTCTGTTCATTGCTTCATTAAATAAAGAAAATTATTTAAAAGAACTTAATGTAATTTATCAAACTGCAGTCTCTTACGGTTTTTCAAAAAATCTCATTAATAATCTTATTAAAAAGAAACAAAAGCATGTTTTTCGCAATTCTTTGTACGCGGTTCGATCTCAAAGTGTCCGGCGATGTGTGGGTATTTTGACCTACTTAGGCTCCATATCGGAAAAAATAGCTAATACTCTTAGAAAAAACGGCATTAACGTGGCATGCAAAACAAAGAATTCGCTTAGGAATATTTGTAATAATAAAGATAAGTTAAATATTAGTCAAAAATCGGGTGTTTATAAACTTGCTTGTGACGAATGTCACGCCGTTTACGTGGTCGCAATTTCGGGACGCGCTATAAGGAGCATTTGGCCGCGTACAGAAATTGCAATCTTGATAAATCCCATTTTGCTCAACATATCTTGGACACTGGTCACAACCTAGCTAGCGACCATTCCTTTGAAGTCTTACATACTTGTAATAAGGGGCTGCGACTGTGTGTGCTGGAACAGTTGGAGATTTAAAAAAATAATAATGGTAACAATGCACTGCTGAATGAACAAACAAATGTTTCTAATTCACCTTTGTTAAACATCTTTAAGGCTAATAATTTTAAAATTATATATTTAAAATTAATAAATAACTATAATATATCTAATAATAATTATTATTATTATTGTTTTTATATTGTATTCGAGCTGGCGCTGGACGCGACAGCATGCGGGCCGCCAGCCGAGCGCGGGGTGTTGCAAGACCACCTAGCAGCCCCCCGCATCCATCATCCCCACCAGAAGGCTTGGTGTCGGCTGGGTCTTCTCGGACTCAGCAAGCGGCACCCACCGCTGGTGGAGCACGTCGCATGCGTTGGTCTAAATCAATGAATGAAAACGCACTGCGGGCGTATTTTAGGGCAAAAGGGGAAGAAACTGGATGTTTGGCGTATCGGGCTCGGATGCATCGCTTTTTTGCAGAGCTGGAGCCATCTCTATCCGTCACTGAGCAAAACCTGGCAGAACGAGTTAGGTACATCCTGCGCTCCAACATATTTGGTGACGCCGAACTCGAGCGACTACGACGTGAGGCTATTCCTTCATCGAATGGAATTGCTACGGCTGGGAATGCGGCGCCACTAGATGCGCAACAAACTGCATATGTGGATGCTGCCGTCAACATTCCATTTGTGGCTAATTCAGACGATGATGGAATAGTCTCCTACGAACTAGAGAAAATGAGGAGCATATTGGAAGAGTCGAAGCTGGAAACGCGCAGTATGCCTCTCGAAAATCGACCGCGACTTCCCCGCATACCCCTTAGCAAGCGAAATCGGGCTGTCGTGCGGGCTCTTAACCCAATGCTGGTGACCTATTTGGAAGCCAGCCGGGACCTTTGCGAGACGGATTCAATTCTTTTTGGCGCCGCACTGGCAGTATGCCGTATTATTGGCGCCAAACTTCCCGTGGCTGGACGTGCTACTCAAAAAAGTAGCGCCATCCCAGCCTGGAGAAAAAGAATTGAGGATCGTGTCGCAAAGGCAAGGGCCCTTATCGGCAGACTGACAAGCTTCAGGTCGGATAATAATAGACCGAGGATTATGCGCACCGTTAGGATGGCGTTTGCTTGGACAAATATCAGTTTGTTCCAGCCGGATATCACGCAAAAACTAACGGAGCGCATAGATGACCTGAAGCAAAAAATCGCTGCTTGGGGGAAGCGGATTCGACGATTTAGCGAGAGGTCAAGGCGGTTCAACCAGAATCGTCTCTTCCAGAGTGATCAGAAGAGGCTCTATAAATCATTGGAGCGACCAGAGGTATGTGGAGCGCCTATGGACCCCGTCACCATAACGCCTGAAGACGTGGCTGAGGCGGTCCGTAGGGCCCCGAACTGGAAAAGTCCGGGGCTCGACGGGCTGCATCATTACTGGCTGAAGGGGTTCGTAGTGTGTCACGCTGTGCTCGCCCGACAGTTTCAAGAGGCTCTCGATCAGAAGTCGCTCCCGAGCCTCTTCACTACTGGATCTCTCATTTGGTTCCTAAAGATCAGGATACCACAGACCCGAGCAAATACCGCCCCATCACGTGTCTACCCACCATATATAAGACACTGACATCCATTTTGAGCGCGAGAATCACTCGTCACCTGGAGCTAAATCAGGTGATGTCACGCGCTCAAAATTGATGCCGGGGCGGTGGTCGTGGAACCAAGGAACCACTCCTCATTGACGCGGTCATTGGCAAAGTGGTGAAACGCAACCGTCGAAATTTCTCAGCCGCCTGGATAGACTACAGAAAGGCATTCGACTCGGTGCCCCATACATGGCTAAAGAGAGTCCTCCAGCTGTACAAAATTGACTGTACAGTTGGAGAATTCCTCGAGCAGTGTATGGGGCAATGGAGTACGATCCTTTGCTATCTGGGCGAGCGGATGATGGCTGCGGAGAACCACATAAGGATAAGAAGGGGTATCTTCCAGGGCGATTGTCTGAGTCCAATCTGGTTTTGCCTCTCCCTGAACCCTCTCAGTACTTTACTGGAGGGCTCCGGGAGGGGATTTCAGCTTCGGAAAGGAGGTACAAAAGTGACCCACCTTTTCTATATGGATGACCTCAAGTTATTCGCCTCCAGTCGCTCCCATCTTATGGAATTGCTAAACATCACATATGAATTTAGCAATTCTATTGGAATGTAGCAGGGAACGGATAAGTGTGCGGTCCTCCATGTTGAAAGGGGGAGGGTTGCTAACTCTGAGGGCATATACTTATCTATGCCCGTCAACTTAAGGACCCTTTCCGAGGCTGAAACATACCGATACCTGGATATGTCACAGAATATCGGTATCGATGAGGCTGGTATGAAACAGTCAGTTTGCGACGTGTTTGATGCACGCTTGACCAAAGTGCTTAACAGCCTTTTGTCCGGTGTGAATAAGACACACGCATATAACGGCTGGGTCATGCCTGTCCTCATGTATACCTTTGGCATACTCAGGTGGACTCAGACTGAACTTAACGCCCTGGATAGAAAAGTCCGCACTACCATGACGTCCCACAGGATGCATCATCCGAGATCGTCGGTAATGAGGCTGTACTTGCCGCGAAAGCATGGTGGGCGTGGCTTCTTGAGCGCGCTCACCATGCATAATCGCGAAGTGTGCAGCCTCCGTAATTACTACCTGGCGAGATCGGATGATCCATTCTATAAGGACGTCGTTTCTAGTGATAAAGGACTTACCCCTCTATCCTTAGCCAACAAGCAATGGCAAGACCCGGCAGTGCAGACAATTTCCGACCGGGAGAACGTATGGAAGGAGAAGGAGCTCCACGGGAGATTCTACAAGGCTCTACATGAGCCTTTCGTAGACACAGTAGCCTCCCTCCACTGGCTACGCTTTGGTGATCTCTTCGGGGAAACCGAGGGTTTTGTCTGTGCAATACAGGATCAGGTTATTAAGACCAACAACTATCGGAGATACATCCTAAAGGATGGCACCGTGGACATCTGTCGAGCTTGTCGCCATCCCGGTGAGTCACTTAGGCATGTCATCTCCGGTTGTTCGGCGCTTTCTAACTCTGAGTACTTGCACAGGCACAACCTAGTAGCCAGAATTCTTCACCAGGAGCTCGCTCTGAAATACGGTCTCGTGAATTGCCGGATCGGAAATTGCCGTATTACAAGTACTTGCCGGAAGCCGTGCTCGAAAATGATCGCGCCAGGCTCTATTGGGACCGGGCCATCATCACAGACAGGACTATTCTTGCGAATAAGCCTGATATTGTGCTGATGGACCGGGCACAGTCAAGGATATTTTTGGTCGACATTACCATTCCGTATGACGAGGACCTCGTGAAAGCCGAAACAGACAAGCAAACAAAATATCTGGACCTGGCTCACGAGGTGACCGACATGTGGGGTGGTCTGCCGACCGAAATTATTCCTGTAGTCGTCTCTGCAAACGGGCTAATCCCAGTCAGCCTCTCGGGTCATCTGAGGCGACTGGGACTACGTGGCGGACCGCTCCGGGCTCAAATGCAGAAGGCGGTGCTCCTCGATACCGCCCGCATCGTCCGCCGGTTTCTTTCCCTTTCCCCCTAACCCTCGGCCGTTTGGTCTCCCCTGCCGAGGGCCTCCATCTGGTTGGGCTTTTATTTATTTATGTATTTTTATATTTATTTTATGTTATTGATATTTATGTATATTTATCTTTTCATTTTCATTTATAATTATATATTTATAGAACCCAACCAGATGATAAAACTATATAGATACCCCACAATAATAATTAAAAATATTAATCATAGCAATTCGTCGCAGGTTTGTTATCGCATGGCGTGGTCACTCGCTACTTTGGTGGGGAGTGGTTGTGTCGTCAAGTATAAATAGCAGCTGTTTCCGCTCGCCGCTCTCGTCGAAAGATGTTCAGCTCTCCCTCTTCGCAGACGACACTGCTATCTACTGCAAAGGTATCTCACTACCTTTCATACGGAACAAGATTCAAAAGTCAGTTGACGACCTTGGAGCTTGGTACAAAAAATGGCGCATCGATGTGAACCTGGAGAAGAGCTCCGCCGTTCACTTCGATTATAAACGACGCCGTCTCAAAAACACTCCACCAATACGTATGCTAGGGACCCCTGTCCTCTGGCATACGACTGCCAAATATTTAGGTGTCACTCTAGACACAGGGCTCACTTTCAGGCCCCACGTCAAAAGAGTAACCCGTCACGCACGTTTTTATCTGAGTAGGCTCAACAGTATGTTGGGCCTACACAGTAAAATGTCCCTTAGAAACAAGCGTACCCTTTATAAGGTCTGTATACGACAAGTCATGTCCTACGCGGGCCCCGTTTTTGCCCACGCCGACCCTAAAATTATTAATGAACTCCAAATAGTTCAAAACCTTTTCTGTCGTCGAGCTGCGAACGCACCTTGGTACGTCCGTAATGCCGACCTTCATCGGGACCTAGAGCTCCCCACAATTCAACAATTTCTCAAAAAACTCTCTGAGAACTTCTTCAAAGCCTCAGAGTCACACTCAAACCATTTAATTCGTGAGGCAGCTACTTATGCAGCCCCACCCCCCCTCTCGCTATCGAGTCCGCAGGCCGAGAAACTCTCTCTCGGACCCGCCTAATAAACTAACAAACGACCTGAACTGCCCCCTGGCGGCTCAGGCCAACTCTAATTAAATTAAATTATTTACTCATAATTAGTTTGCCTTCGTAGGCACTCCCTCAGCGGCTCGTAGCCGCCTGCGCCCTCTTTTACCAAAAGAGGGTCGCTCACGATAAGGCACAATAAAGCTTAATCAGCCGGTTGCCTGTCCCCAAAGGCGGTTTTTAGAGGGTATCACTTAGGGTCCCCGGTAGGATGTGAGTCCCTCATAACCACGATAGACCGGCTATCGTGGTATGCGTAATGCATTTTCCGCCTCCCTACGTATAGGGTAGCCCTTTAATTGCTTCGGGCGCAAAAAAAAAAACAAAGCCCTCACTTAGTGGTCAGTCGCCGTAGAGTCTACATCACCCGAGGATGCCTCGTGTAGAGGCGAAACACGTGTCGTATTGTCGTCGATTGTGTGTCTTACCTGGAATAGTGGTGCCGGGTGTAGTGTTGTTGGGACTAGTGGTGACGGAGTTAGTGCATGCAATTGAGGGAGGCGGGGGGCGGGAGGTGCTCTTCACCACCATGAGAGAAAGTAAAAGTGGACTGAAAGTAAAAATCTTTCAAAATTTTCAAGGGGAAAAATAATTTTGATTGATTTTTGTGCAAAAACTACATGTATTCTGGGATTTATAAGGGTTGTGGTAGATAGCAGTACTACTAAGGTTGCCGATACAAAAAAAAAATTAAAAATGGTAGTTAAAAATACCATATCGGGGTATCGATTTTCGAAGAATTTCATTTTTTTATATATATATATATATATATATATATATATATATATATATATATATATATATAGTTTTATGTAACTGGTATGAGTCGAACTCTCGTACCTTTTATAGAGGGGTAAAAGGTACGAGAAAAGTGCCTTGCGATGCCGTCTCCTTTGATTTAATACTCAAAGTCGAAACTGTCCCGATAAAACGATCCGTACAACTATCATAAGTATAAAATATTCAAGTAAGTATAAATGTGACACGTAAAATTTGTGGAGGACTTTTCGAAAATTCTGTAATTTAACTATGGTTGCGCGGAAAACCATTCGCGTTTTTATTTTTGACGGTAGGAACTTGCCGAATCATTATTCCCTTTCCCAAACGATATCATTCGTACCCTCCTATCGACACGTCGGGGTGATGGGGTGGGAGGGGAAAGAAGACGATTCTAGAACATCGCGTAATCATCGGACCCGAGGATATATAAGACACGCGCGACCGACGCGCGCTCTCTCTTCCCGCGCGCTCGTTTGGAAACACCTCACTAGTGGAAACCGCTTTGGCCTGGAAGCAGTCGAGCTCTAGGAACCCGCCTCACCTCGTGTGAGATATCGTCGCGCACCGCCTCTCTCCGGAGTGTTCCAGAAGTCGCTATAGTGATCGACAGGATAGAAGAAACCCCGGTGAGTCAACATTCCTTAATTTACTGCCTGATTAATATTTAATAATTGTTTAACCGCTCCAATTCTGTGTTCTCCCCATCAGGCAGGATTCCTTTCATCGATTTGGCAAGTAATAGTTTTAGTTTAGGGAAGAGCGAGTGCATTATACCGCATGCTATAGTAGTCGCTTTTACATAAGCATAGAAGCAATCGCAAATACAGTCCACTTTAGTTAATATCTCGCGTAATAGGTTTGAGGTTTGACCGGGGAACTAGATTTTCGGCAGCCTTAAACACGTGGCTCCACCATTTTATGGTCACTTCGGCAGGATCTGGATTGGTGTTTAGTGGTTATCCAACCATTTTCTGGTCGAATTTTTTCTGTAATTTATGGAATAGACTTAAATAGTGTTCGTTTAAATTAAAATTTTGATTTGGTACTCGCAAACAGAATTATTCATTTAATAGCGCTCGTATTTGGTTAAATTTAAAGCTTATTAAATAATTGAAACGGTGTGATAGCAACCGTTTGATACGCTTACCCCACAATTTGATAAAATTATTAGGTTTAGCAAACGACGCGTAGACTCGACCGCAACGGGTGTTCGATCTGATTACGTAATACGGCACGCCGAGTGTTCATCCTACGTCGTTTATGCGTGTGAGATTAATTGTGATTAATATAACTTTATTATAATAATTTAAAATGGCAGTTAGTGGAAGTGAAATCAAAATTAAAACGCTTTATGCCAAGAGGGACATACTCTTTTCGCGTGTGCAGAATATAAGTAATTATATAAAGAACATTAATATAGAGGCAGTGCGGGAAGCCTTTTTGAATGAAATCGAAACGATAGATACTTTGCGGATAGATTACGAAAGAATATTAGACCAAATTAATCATTTGGAATTACAAAGCGACCCGAAATACATAGTGAACTACCAACCGCTGCTGGCATTCGAAGATATGTTGTGTCGCGTAAAAAAGAACTGCAAAACTCCTACAATCTCAAAGCGAAGCAAAGCCGGAAATACAGGTACGCCCTCGTGACTCAATTAGGTTACCGCCAATAGATATTCCGGTATTCAATGGTGATATTAAGACGTGGCCTTCTTCTTCAGTAGTTTTCAAAACAATATACACAACAACCCATCGTTATCGGACGCTGAAAAATTATATTACTTAATTAGCAAACTTAGTGGCAGAGCACAGTCGATCTGCTCGGGTTTTACACCTACAGCAAACAATTACGTATTAATATTTGAAACGCTTAAAATTAAATATGAAGATAGGAGAATGTTAGCTTCCGAATATTTGAACCAGATATTCGATCTTAAACCTATATCATCCGCGAACATCAACGGCTTAGAGCAGTTTCTAGATAAATTTGTGGCATCGGTGGCTGCACTTAAGAATTTGAAGTTTGATGACCTTATGGACGTGGTGTTTCTCCATATAGCATTAAAGAAATTAGACTCCGACACCGTGCGTGCGTTTGAAATGGAGCATCGTAGCTCGGAGATGCCTTCCTTTCATTCATTAGCATCGTTCGTGCGAGATCAAATAAAGGTGATGCAGCGCTCTCCGAACGTTAAACAGGAGATTAAAAGGTGCGTCGACCGTAGACAGACTCAACCATCTAAAATAGCAGGGTCGTTAACTTACGTAACCGCTACGCCGACATCACTCAAGCATACTTGTATAGTATGTAAAGATAAACACGGTAATTTATATAATTGTGCGACTTTTCGTAAATATTCACCAAGCGAACGTTATAAGTTAGTAAAGACAAACAACCTATGTTTGAACTGCTTAAGCGATAAGCATTTAGTTGCAAAATGCAATTCGAGTTCCGTATATAGCAAGTGCGCCAGGAAACATCACACGCTATTACATTTTGAAAATAGCAACATAGCGGCGTCAAGTAAGGCGGATAAGGAATTCACCCCTACTAAGGTCAACGATTCTAGCGGTCGACCTGGTGATGTCGCTCTGTGCTCATTGGCAAATATGGGAGTACAACCTCCTTCGACCGTGTTACTGGGTACGGCGCGTATTTTGGTTAGGGATTCGCGTGGAAACGAACAAAGCGTCCGTGCACTGCTGGACAGCGGAGCCCAAAATAGCTTTATAATACGACAATGTTGTCAGCGCTTAGGTTTAGTAATAAATAGGTCACTTTCATGTCCTGTAGTTAAAGGCATCGGAGGTACTAGTAAAGCGACACAGGGATATATAAATTTAAAATTTTATTCTCGGATAGATCGTAATGTTAACTTTGATATAAATGCACTAGTAGTAGATAGGGTCACTGAACGGTTGCCAACCGTTTCGGTTGACACCTCGGCAATGATTGAATTTAAAAATTTGCCTCTAGCAGACGACACTTACGCCGTTCCTGGAAACATAGACATGCTCATTGGGGCATCGCTTTTCCCTTATCTTTTGTTAAACAATAAGGTCAGGGGCAACTCCTCGCATACCGCGCCTTACGCACTGGAAACCGTATTGGGCTATGTGATCCTTGGCTCCGCCCCCATCCTAGATAGTATTTCGGAAACCTCTTATTGTGGTATGGCTGTCGAACCGCTCGAGTCGTTAGTCCGCAAATTTTGGGAGATGGAGGAGGTGAACGTCCCACCTATAGCTAGTCCAGATGACAGGTTATGCGAGGAAATTTACGTCCGCACGACCGTTCGTGATCGCGACGGTAGATATAGTGTAGCGCTACCCTTTAAAGGAGATGTTTTATCTCTCGGCGATTCGCGTCAAATGGCGGAAAAGCGTTTCTACAGCTTGGAGCGTAGGATGCTCGCTTCGCCCCATTTAAAGGAAGCTTACGACGGCGTCATTAACGAATATATAAGAGAAGGTTACATATCGCTTGTGGCTTCGAAATTAGATAACTACGAAGACACACCGTCGTATTTTATACCACACCACGGAGTCTAATGGAGAGGACAAACTTACATCTAAATTACGTGTAGTGCTCGACGCTAGTGCTAAAACTAGCACTCACCTGTCGCTTAACGATATCCTCTATAGTGGGCAAAATTTACAGGGCAGTTTATTTAATATAATAGTCAATTTTCGTTTGTTTAGTATAGCACTATCCGCCGATATTCGCCAAATGTTTCTTTGCATAGGGGTCCGTGAATGCGACCGTAGATTCCAACGCATTTTATATCGCTTCAACCCAAAGGAACCTCTAATGGTGTTTGAATTTAACCGCGTTTGTTTTGGTTTAAAGTCGAGCCCATTTCATGCGTTACGCACGGTGAGACAGCTCGCTCACGATGAAAGTCCCTCTTATCCTAAAGCTAAGAGGGCAATTGAGAGCGGATTATATATGGATGATTTTGTGTATTCGCTCGATAGCGTGGAGGAGGCCACCCTAACCACCGCCGAAGTCATAAGGCTCATGAAATCGGGTCAATTCGATCTTGTGAAGTGGACTAGTAATTCGCGTACGGTTTTAGATACAATCCCACTATCACACCGTCTTTCGGCGATAAAGGAATTCGACGATTCCGATACACACAAGGTGCTCGGTCTGTGTTGGTCACCAGAGTCCGACGTGTTTAGCCTTAAGGTATGTACGTGATGGGGTAGGACCCGAAGCGAAAGGTCGATCTGTTATATCGTCCTCAAAAAATTAAATGAAAACAGTGTAAAAAGTGCACTAAATATCTCAAAATGTCATTATTTACGTGCATAAATAGTGGTGAGACTCTTTAGTGGTGTGGCAGTGGCTAAAAACTTTGTTTCAATACTAGATTTTGATCAAAAACTGAACGAAAAGTGATTTTGTTTTCTTTTGCAAATGAAGGTGAATGTTAATAACTTCTCGCAAAACAAAACAAATAACGAGTGTCTCTAGTACCTCAAATGAATTTAGTCTGGAATATAATACTTAAATTCACCATTCATCAAACAAGCCAGCTAGCCTAGTGGTGAGTGCGACGCGTTACAACCAAAAAGACGTGGGATCAAATCCACGATATAATTCGACTTCTTTTTGTATGTTTCTTTAAGACAGCCTTTAATAACTTACAAAGAATAAACCTAAAGAAACAGAAAAGCAGTAGCACCAAATCCTTATTATAGGAATATAAATAGATTGTAGGAAAGTAAGCAAATTTAAGATGAATACAAGCTATAGCAACATAACATTCAGACGCATGCGGCGTTATAATTCCGAAAATGATGTAGCATGCTTGGAGGGCTCAATAACCAATGATTCCGTTATTATGTACGGTGATAGTTTAAGGAGCCTTCCAGACGTATCTATACACAATAGCTCAAGGATGATTGAATTAGAAATGCAAATTGAACAACTAAAACAAACTCTTCAAGCTGCTAATACAGAAGTAGATAATTTGATATTGCAGAACAATGACTTGCAAAGGGAACTAGAAAACTGCCAGATGGTGATTAAATCACTAAGAGCTATACAAACTTTAGGACCTGAAAAAATACGCGGTATGTCACCCAAGCCAGCTAGCAGTTTAAACAAAACACAACTTTTCAATAAAATTCAAAAAAACGCAGTAACTCAAACCGATGATAATCCGAGCTCACAAAATATTAAAATAAAAAGGAATAAAAGAATTAAATTGCTATTAAAACCTAAAATTAAATATGCAACTAAAAACCTTCTTAAAAAAATTAAAATACAAAATAAGAGGGTTCGAAAATTACAGAAAGAACTGAAAAACTTAAAGATAGAGAAGAATAGAATACAACATAAATTATTAGAATTGGAAACACTTACTAAACTAAAAATATCAACGAAAGTCCAGAAAAAACAAGAAATAATACATAAGCAGGAAAACTACTCTTCAAAGCTGTAAGGAAAAGGAAATAAAATAGAAACATCAGAAAGAGACAGGGCACAAAGCGGAAAAAGAAAAGAGAACACAAAAACACTGACAAGAATAGAAATGTTTTCGGACAGAATAGGGAGTGGACTAGCAATCAAATTAATGCAACAATTGGAAAATACAAAAATAACAAATTACTGTCAAACAGGGGGAAATCATAAACAAATATTGAAGCACTTTGATTTATATACCAAAGATTTGAAAGAAAATGACTTAGCGGTAATACTAATAGGAAACTACGACATTAAAATGGGGACATCATATGTGGATGAAATTCGAAGAATTGTGAGCAAAGAAAATAGAAAATTCAACATTTTGTTAGGAAGTATAATATACGACAACATAAATGATGATAAAATCTTTACTATTAATAAAGAACTCTTTAATCTAGCTGCGGTATCTGAGAATGTCAGATATCTTGAAATAAATGTAAAAGTCAAGGTAAATGTAAAAAATATAGTGATTGAGGAAACTGTTAAAAGTATCAAAGATAGTCACTTTAATGCTTCGTCTTGTTTGCACTTTATCAAATTAAATTCTAATTTAAATTGTTCACTAAATTTTTTAGACACAACCAAGACTCCATTAACTGGTTAACGATTGTGCATGCTAATATTCAGAGTATTAATAATAAATATCTAGAGCTAAAATTATTAGCAGAAAATACAACTTGTGATGTGCTTTGTCTAACAGAGACTTGGACCAATGAATTGAAATTAGGCGTAATGACTATTGAAGGCTTTATACTTGTATCATATTACAATAGGATGCTATTTGAACATGGAGGTACAGCTATTTTTGTTAGACACTCACTTGAATATAAAATAAGACATGACATTGTAAAGTTGAGTATTGAAATGAATTGTGAACTAGCGGCAATTGAAGTAAAATCGTCTAAATTAGTTATTATTTGTGTATATAGACCTGATTATGATTATTTAATATTCGAAGATATTATGACTAAAGTTATCGAAAAAATAGGGAGGGAAAACAAAAGAATTGTAATTGCAGGAGATTTTAATTTAAACCTATTGAAACCAAATAATAAAGTATCCAAATTTTTAAAACTATTGAGTGAATTAAAATGTAAATTCGTCTTAAATGAGCCAACCCGAACCAAAGGGAAGTCTTCCACATGTATTGATAATTTCATTTTAAATGACGATGATGATTTTCAGTATCACAGGGGTAAAGTATTAGACGTAAAGTTATCAGATCATAACGTCATAGAATTAAAGTATAAATTGAATTCTAAATATCCTAAACCAAAGGAGAAGACTGAGGTTAGATCTAGAATAATATCTCAGGAAAATATAAAATATTTTCATTACTTGTTCTGTAAAGACTTTGAATGTGTAAGAAAGGATGTAAATTTGAAACTTGACGCAAATGAGAAAATGAACATTTTTATAGACTATATACAATATTGTTATTACACTGCATTTCCATTAAAAACAATAAAACCTATAAAAAATAAGAATAAACTAACAACCAAGGGTATTTTGATATCTAGAAATAATCTTCAAAAACTCGAAATATTGCATAACTTGTATCCAGATAAAATTAGAAAATCCAATCTAAATAGATATAAGAAAATATATAGAAAAGTACTACAAACAGCCCAAAAACTTAGGAACGCGTCTAGAATTAAAAATTCCACGAATAAAATTAAAACTACTTGGACTATTATTAAGGAACAAAAAAATCATGTTAAAACACAAAGAATAAATAAAATTACTAAAATTAAAAATCACTATGGGGACATAATTACAAATAATAAAAATATGGCAAACAGTTTCAATGAGTTCTTTTGCAATATAGCTGGTAAACTTACGGAAAATTTAGAGGTTAAGGTTGAAAAATGTAGCAAATATTTAAAAAACCCAACAAATAATAAAATTCGCTTTCATAAAATAAATAATTCCGAATTTTGGAATATTATTCATAGTTTAAAATGTAAAACGTCTAGAGACATATACGATATGTCAACAAAAACTATTAGAGAACTTATCATCCACAACAAAGACATGTTTGATATAATATTGGAAGTCTTGAATGATTGCATTATAGAAGGAATTTTCCCAGATAGCTTAAAAATAGGAAAAATTGTGCCACAGTTCAAAAAAAGGACAAACTATTGAAATTGGTAATTACAGACCGGTGTGTATATTACCAGTTATATCAAAGATTTTAGAAACTGTCTTAAAATCTAGGATATTAGACTACTTTGAAAAAAATAATCTATTTACAGACTGTCAATTCGGTTTTCGCAAAAAAAAGATCAACGGAAATGGCTATTAGAAAAACAGTATACTTTATATTGGACGCGTTGGATGGATCGCAGAAGGTATCTAGCATTTTTTGCGATTTATCTAAGGCGTTCGATTGTCTGAGGCATGATATCTTAATTTATAAATTAAAATTCTACGGATTTGAAGGAAAAGAATTGAAAATAATGCAGTCTTATCTTAACAATCGAACGCAAATAGTTAATTTAAATAATACTAACTCTGATTCACAACATAGTTACATTGGCGTTCCGCAGGGCTCTATCCTGGGACCATTGCTGTTTTTAGTGTATGTGAACGACCTTGCAAATAATTTACCTGACTGGGCGATGGTTACACTATTCGCGGATGATACACAGGTTGGTGTTAAAGATAAAAATGCAGTCCAAGTATCCAAGAAGACAAATGATATTTTAAATATGCTTAAAAATTGGTTTGAAACAAACGGAATAATTTTGAATGCAGAAAAAAGTATCATTATTAATTATGCAAGCAAAAAAACAAATAAAGTCACAAAAAGTGACGTTACATTTTTAGGGTGTACTTTCGATTCCACTTTAAGTTATGAAACCCATATAGATAACGATCTAATATATCTATCTAGAGAAGAACGATCTAATATATCTATCTAGAGAAGAATATATCTATCTAGATCTAATTATACATGGATTGCAAAGATCGACATCAGCTAGAGCCTATTTCCAAAAAGCGAAAATTATGACTGTCGTTTCGTTATATATTTATAGATCGCTTCTAGAAGTACACCAGGAAAAAAGTAAACTACCAATGAAGAAGCACGTACATAACTACAATTCTAGAAATCGCGAAAGATTAGTTGTTCCAAGAACCAGATTAGTCAAAGTGTTCAAGCAAGGTTTTGCAATAAAAATTATAATGTACAATAAATTGCCAATAGAAATAACAAGACTTCCGCTAAATGCGTTCCGACAAGTGATAAAAACATTCTTTTTAAATCACGCTTTTTACAACATAGAAGAATATATGCAATGTTCATTTTTTGACTTGTTTGACACATAAAATAATGTACTGTAAATGAGATGTATCTTAATTATATTATTGTAATTGTATAATTTGTAATTTTAACTATATTATTGTATCTATATAATTGTAATTGTAATTTTGACGTACCAATGTTACGTAATGTAACGTAATGGCAAATAAATAAATAAATAAATAAATAAATCCGCCCGTAGAGAAATGCACAAAGCGCACAATACTGTCATGCGTTGCTAGATTATGGGACGTCATGGGTTTCGTAGCTCCTGTGGTATTGTACGCTAAGCTTTTGATTAAACAACTTTGGTTATTTGAATGTGATTGGGATGACTCGCCGCCTGACAGCATTGTTCGATTGTGGCAGCGCTTTAGAGAGGAACTTCCTTTACTAAGAGAAATTAAAATACCGCGTCATATAAATGTCGATAGAAATAGCAGCATAACGGTCGTTGGATTTGCAGACGCCAGCGAGAGGGCGGGGGGCGTTGTATATTTCCATGTCCAGAATAATGGTAGAAATTCGATTAGCCTCATTAGTTCTAAGTCGAGAGTCTCCCCCCGTAAGGTTGTCTCTCTGGCGCGCTTAGAGCTTTGCGCAATATTAGTACTCACCAAGCTTATTACCACAGTTATCGGCGCATGTAGGGATAGAGTTCACATAAAAAGGATATTTGCCTTTTCCGACTCCACCGTCGCCTTATGTTGGGTTCATTCTTCACCCCACCGTTGGGATACGTTTGTCGCGAACCGAGTGGCCAAGATCCAAGACGAGTTAGAAACGCGGAACTTTTATCACGTGTCCGGTAAGGAAAACCCTGCCGATTGTCTATCCCGGGGACTCACCCCGATGCAAATAATGGACCACCCGCTTTGGTTCCATGGACCTTCTTGGGTTCACTTGGATCCCTCACAGTGGCCAATAACCGATTTCGAACCTTCGTCAGTGTCACAACCGCCGGAAGAGAGGAGACACGCTCTAGTGGCGAGCGTTTCGAGCGAGGTTTCTCCAATTATTACTCTGGCGAACCGCTTGTCCTCTTGGTCGAAATTATTGCGTAGCGTAATTTACGTTTGTCGATTCGCGAAGCTTTTACCGCGACGTTCGTATATCTTAGCATCCGATTACAACTATGCCGAGTCGCTAGTATTACGTGAACTTCAACGTGCGCACTTCTCCGAAGAAATTACAAGATTACAATCGAATAGAGCTTGTAGTCGCGCCTTTCAACGCCTTAAGCCATTTTTACAGGATGGGATTGTAAGGGTAGGTGGCCGCTTGTCCAACTCGCAATTGAGTTTCGACCAACGGCACCCTATAGTTTTACCGCGTAAAGACCATATCATGAACTTATTAGTCGATTATCATCATAAATTGAACTGGCACGCTGGCCCCGATTTATTGATGTCGATCTTGCGTCAGAATTATTGGATTCTTTCTGCACGTAGTTTAATACGCAATCGGGTGCACAGATGTATAGCTTGCTTTCGGGCACGCCCCAAGCCGTCATTTCCGGAAATGGCGGAACTTAGATCTTGCAGAGTGATACAATCAGTAAAGCCCTTCACGCACACCGGGTCTGATTTTGCTGGTCCGTTTAAGGTCACGCTCACTCGCGGGCGCGGTATAAGATCCACAAAGGCTTACGTCTGCATTTTCGTATGTCT